TATAGTTATATTTTTTAACAATATGTTATGTTATAATTAAATTTATATTATATATAAAAATACTCTAATGAAATACAGAAATGTAATTTCTTGCTTATGATATTACGATTCAATATGGTTGAGGCGAGTACTCAGGAGCCATAAAACTTTTGGACATCTGGACAGTACTTTTTATTTTCTTTTTTTCACAACAAGATTTTAATGAAGTGCTGTGGCCACTTAAAGGTTAAAACTGTGTCAGGAGTTTTCAACACAATTCGAATACTGTAACCTTAGTATTACTTAAATATCATTCCTTATCAGAATCATAAAACTTTTTCAAACAAAAAAGTTACAAATATCTTATTTTTAAACTTTTAACAAAAATATATTAGTCTTTAAGATCGATTTTTTTTATTATCTAAAAAAATGCTAACTTTTTACTTGTATTTTTTTATCAATGCAGTGACGTGTACATATATATTCGTAATAGAATTATAAAGAAGATAGTGGAAAAATGATAATAATATAATATAAATTTAATTGATATTCGATATGATTTTAATAAAAAAAGACCAATAAAATAACGTTAATATTTTAGGGATTGTAAAATACAAACAGATACATGTAACTATTATAGGTTATATTATTGTTCAAAGAGATGTATCAGTAAATGTAGCATACGATGGCCGAGAAAGATGAAAATTTTATTTATGGTCAAATGAACAATTTGTTCGTGCGTAATGCGCAAGTAATACGCATTTACATGGAAACCAGATTAAATCAGATTTTCATTGGTCACGAAAAGTGAGAGGTAATTGCTCAGAATTAATATCGCGCCTCATATTTTCGTTCAGCTGGTGCTCTTGCGCTTTTGTGAATATAAATCACTAGTCACAAATAATAAATCGAATGCTGTTTAATCGCAAGCATTTAATATGAGACATTGGAACTGGATAATCGTTTTAGTCCGCAAATGTAAAATGAATATTTTATCAAACGTAGAAGACTTATTGTAGCATACAATACAATTCCGTTTTATGAAGCAATTCTCAATATCTTGCAAGAACAATTATGCTTGTGTTCCAATTAATAACTCAATTAAATTAATTACTAATTCTCTCTCTAACGGTCAGAGAGAGATCCGCTATTTCAAATCGCGATCACTATAATGCCCGCGTTCTGTCTCGATGACAAATTTAGGAAACGTGAATTGGCAAACAGAAAACCCGTATGTCGATAAGGAATCATGATGTTGACGATTACATTGCGACTACTCGTAAGTGATTTTCTAACGGAAAATTCGCTACCGAATATATCATCACTCGTAGCTTTTCTTTTCAAATTTCGGTATATGCGGGTAAAAACTTTTGATAAAACATTATTAATTAAGATTCGCTTTTATTAAATTAGTTCTTTTTCACTTTATGCTTGTGTTTCACTTAAATATCGGTTGATTTTTATTTATTAAAAATTTTTGATTGTAATAAAATGTTTTAATGTAGATAACTTTTAATTTTTTAATATAATCAGTAATTGTATTTTAACTTGACATTCGTCAAGAATTAAACTGATATTGTTAAAAAATACTTTACTGTTTATGTTTCAGAATCATAATATTTGCATAACTTTAAGAATTGAATTCTTAGCGTATATTATACAGCTCGGAGAAAAATCTCAAAATTTTATTTTCATTATACGCAAAACTTTTGAAAAGTCGCGAACCACTTAGACAGAAAGGTTCTTGTTAGAAGATTCAGTATACGGTTCAATCTCTTTTAAAGTAGTAGTTTATTCCTGATGGAAAACTACGAGAAAGCAATTCTCAAAAAATTGTCAACACGGAGAAATTCCAAGTTTTTGATCCGTAGCGCAGCAACGTCGCGCGCGCACACACACACACACACACACACACACACACAATCTATAAAAGATTTTATTAAATAGTCGGAACCACTCACTCTATTCTTCGTTGAAAGGAGCACGAAGTTTTAAGGCAACGAGAGGCAAGAGAGAGGCCACATTGGCTAGATTAAAGGAAAAAACTTCGCGATTATTCAACTTTACCATTCCAGCTTTTCGAGACACTTCATTCTTTTCGCAAATGCGATTGACGAATTTGAAGCATCGTATATTTATCCATTTGCAAGCACTCACCTTATTCGCTAACTAGACTAAGCGAACTAAATTAACAAGTTATAATGTAATGAAAACGCAATTACTTATATCTCTAGCTGTATACTTTATTAGAAGAATTTTGATTTAATGTATTTAATATTAAGAATTAAAATGTTCACTGACAGAAAAAATTATTTTGCACTTAACAACTTAGCTATAATTTATATATATCAAAATTTTCAATGTTTATTGTAGATATATCTCTTTAAAAAACTATAAGTATGATATACTAATTTACAAAGTTTTGTGCAAAAACGTATGAAGACTGTCTCTAAAGTGATTTTTAACGCTAAACCCGAAAACGCTGCTATCGAAATATTTCCATCAAGTTCAATTTTGAGATATAGAAGACACTAGATAAGAAGATTTTTTTCGATATACACAGTG